CCCACCTTTTGGAATGAGGGTGACTCTCCCAGCTGCTTCTAGTTTTGTTTTTTTTGTTTTGTTTTGTTTTGTTTGAGAAGGGTCCTGCTCTGTCACCCAGGCCACAGTGGCAGTGGCATTATAATAGCTCAGTGCAATCTCAAAATCCTGGGCTCAGGCAATCCTCCTGCCTCAGCCTCCCCAATAGCTGGGACTATAGGTATGCACCACCATGCCCGGTTAATTTTTACATTTATTTATTTATTTATTTATTTATTTTATTTTTTTTTTTTGAGACAGAGTCTCGCTTAGTTGCCCAGGCTGGAGTGCAATGGCGCGATCTCGGCTCACTGCAAGCTCCGCCTCCCGGGTTCACGCCATTCTCCTGCCTCAGCCTCCCGAGTAGCTGGGACTACAGGCGCCCGCCGCCTCGCCCGGCTAATTTTTTGCATTTTTAGTAGAGACGGGGTTTCATCGTGTTAGCCAGGATGGTCTCGATCTCCTGACCTCGTGATCCGCCCGCCTCGGCCTCCCAAAGTGCTGGGATTACAGGCGTGAGCCACCGCGCCCGGCCAATTTTTACATTTCTTTTGGCGAGACAGGGTCTCACTGTGTTGTGTAGGCTGAAATACAGGGGCTATTCACAGATGCAATCACAGCTCACTGCAGGCTCAAACTCCTGGGCTCAAGCAATTTTCCTACCTCAGCCTCTGGAGTTGCTGGGACTACAGGCACATGCCATCATGTGCAGCTGCTTTTAGGATTTTTAAAGAGCTTGATTCAGTAACATAGAATCTCTACAGACTGGGACCTTGTCAGAGACTGCTTTGGGGGCTAAAAACATGTCAGTAAATGAGATGCTTCCCTGTATCTTTGATTCTTCACCTATAAAATGGGGTAAGAGTTTCTTACCCCACAGAGTGGCTACAAGGGTTGAATGAGCTATTACACAACACACAAACCAGTGAGAGGTGGCTACTAGTTATTATACTGGTTTTTGTTAATCACAGTCTATCTGTTCCTTTATGTCGGTGTTACCCAAATATCAATCATTCACAGAGCATCATGCTAAACCTTGCACTGTTTTCATGATTGTTTGTTTAGTAGCTTTCTTTAAGCTGACTCATTTCCTTTCTACCTAAAATAATTTTAAAGGGGGACTGTACATCACCATGGTAAATGGAAAAATAGAATTCTGTGTCATAACTAGAAGGCAAATGTAAGAATGAATACAAAGAAAACAAATCTAATTAACCTCAAGTCTGTCGCCCGCCAAAGGCATTGACCCCAGCCTTGCTGCTTTTCCTAAGAAGAAAGATCAGAGGCACATGAGAGGTAAGAAAGTGACACAGAGACTTTCTCCTCCAAGGAGCTGGAAGCCATGAAGAGCTGAAAAGGGGAGGCCCTTCTCCCTGCATGATGTGCCCTTTCATGGCCAGTGTGGTCCTTCTAAATCCTGACTTGGCACAAAGACACCATCTTACCGTCCCATACGCTGGGAGGGCTTGTTCCAAGGCAGCCGCCCTGCAGACCTCTGTGTACGGGATAAATGTTCCAGATCTGTGCTGTCCAGAACAGAAGCCACCAGCCATGTGTGGCTGCTCAGCATGTGAAATGTGGTGCAACTGACCAGTCAAATCTTTCGTTTTCTTTCTTTCTTTTTCTTTTTCTTTTAGACGGTCTCGCTCTGTCTCCCAGGCTGGAGTGCAGTGGCACAATCTCAGCTCACTGCAACCTCCGCCTCCCAGGTTCAAGCGATTGTCCTGCCTCAGCCTCCCAAGTAGCTGGGATTACAGGTACCCACCACCACACCTAGCTAATTTTTGTATTTTTAGTAGAGACGGGGTTTCACCATGTTGGCCAGGATGGTCTCGAACTCCTGACCTCGTGATCTGCCCTCCTTGACCTCCCAAAGTGCTGGCATTACAGGCGTGGCCATTTTAATTAATATAAATCTCATTTTAATTAATATAAATCTCAAGAGCCACACACGGCTAGGAGCTCTGGTACGGAGAGTGTAGCTCCAGTACCGGGGGGCAGAGCTCTACTGAGAAAGCTCTATGTCTTGGCTCTCCAGTCAAATTTATGCTCACTTTGGGGTTATGTCCTTGTTTTCGTTCAAGGGAAATCTTCCAAAACTAGACAGTGGCTGTCACGGGAATGTAGTTGGCAATTGTCTCCTCTATCCTTTTTTATTGTTTAATCTCAAACCTTGTGTGGAAATTTCTTTTAGAGCTTCTTTTGAAGAATTAACATATTTTATGATCATTAGCAACAGAATTATCCAAATAACCACATTTCTCTCTCACACTGGCTGCCAGGAAGCCCACGGGAAGTTCATAAATCAATGAGCGCAACAGTGTAGAATCTCATGATACGTATATACACTTTCTGCTTTTTCCTTTTAAACTCTTAGTTTACATTTTCACTGATCCTGATGTGTGTTTTTTTTTTTTTTTTACCTCTATCATTCTTTTTTAGATGTTTCTCTAGAAATTATCTCATATCTTTTTGAGGCAGAGTCTCATTCTTGTCACCCAGGTTGGAGTGCGGTGGCGCAATCTTGGCTCACTATAACCTCTGCCTCCTGGGTTCAAGCGATTCTCCTGTCTCGGCCTCCCAAGTAGCTGGGATTACAGATGCCCACCACCACGCTCGGCTAATTTTTGTATTTTTATTAGAGATGGGGTTTCACTAAGTTGGATAGGCTGGTCTCAAACTCCTGACCTCAGGTGATCTGCCCGCCTCAGCCTCCCAAACTGCTGGGATTACAGGCATGAGCCACCATGCACGGCCAGCATACTTTTTTAATTCTAAAATAAGTACTCTTCAACAGTACCAGTCTTTTAAATGAGTCACCTTTTATGCAATATCATTTATATAAAGTAAAAACATGGCAATAAAAGCTTTCTAAAATGCTTCCAAACAGATGCTCTGATTTTGCTCTGCAGGCACCAATCAGAAGCATCATTTGCTAAAAAGAGAAAAATAATTGCATGGAAGAGACGCCACTTCACACACCCCAGCACCAGGGAAGGCTACAGAAGGCCAGAGGCGTGGAATGAAGTTGCTCCCAGTGATGCGGAGCGGCCAGGCCTGGCACTGGCTGGAAGCAGGGCTGCGCCCATGAGAGCTTCACACAGCGAAGGATGGGGAGAGAGTGGCTTCACTGCCACGGTGGCCATTGCGGAAACCATCTCCCAGGCAACGGCATATTTGCTGAGGTCCCTCTCATTTCATAGCTGACTTTCAGGAGCTAAAAATTGCCAAGTTGCTTCATGGGGTGAGAGGAGGGAAAAGTCAAAACTGAAAGGTCAAGGAAACCTCTCAAGTGATAACATGTTTTAATTTTGTTCTAAAATAAAGCCATCTGCTGTACTGTTTTCATCCTCCAGGCTGCACCTTCCAGCTCTCTGATGACCACAAAGCAGAACTTGAAGGGTCAAATAAGGCAGTTGGGTTTGGGGGGGATAAAAGGAGAAAGAGAGAGAAGAGGATTTTTGAAAATCTATAATATCTAATTCTCTCTTTAAACCGGAGCTGAGAACAACATAAACACTCAAGATTCTCCTACGACTGTTGCCCAGCTGAACGTGTCAACTAAAACAACCTTCTCATGCCAAAGTCTAGCTCATCTGTCCCTAAGAGTTCCAGTAAGATGTGCATACTATGCTTAGACCCGAGACCAAGCCCAGCGGTCATCTGGGAAGGGAGAAATGAATAGAGCGTTTACTGCACGCCAGGTATTTCTAATCTCCAAACAGTTTTACAAGATAGATTACTGTCTCCATTTTACAGCTGAAGAAACTAAGACTCATCTAAGGTCATAGTGTTAAACCAGGGATTCTGCTTTCAAGTTCAGTGTCCTTTCTTCAACACCCCACTTTTTGGGGAAAAAATACCTTAATAGCCAAGAAAATTTCTTCAATAAGTCAATTACTCACTAAGAAAAATGGCTACAAAATCCAAGGCTTTGCAGAGAGCTCATGGGGAATAAAACAAAACCTAAAGACAATTATTTTAGCACAAGCAGACAGGAGAAGCAGGAAGCAGCTAGGGCTCAGTACCGAGAACAAAGCAGTCCCAGAACAAGGGTGCACAAAAGCCTGGAAATCAGAGTTCATGGTAAGAGAGAGGAAGAGAAGGAAGACAGACATGCAGATGAGATGTGGGCAGGGCTAAAAGAAGCTTCAGAAAATCAGAGAGGAGATGGAGAACCGGAGTCCCCTTGATTGGGTAAAATCACCTCCTCAACAGACACACATCTCACTGCCCCAGACACTCAATGCCCACCTGGGTGCGGCTATCGCTAACCCCAAGAAAGCAGAGGTGACGTTCACACGTCCTGCTTGTCAAGCGTCGGTTGCCCCTTCTTTTGGAAAGAATTCTCTGGCTCTCATTTGGGGAATCTCCTCTCCCCACTCTCAGACATGTGGTCAGGTGAGGTAAACGTCCACCCTGGGGCCAGTGGTGGTCACACGAACCAACCCAGGCCAGTCACAGAGTCCATCACCCAACCTCAAGGTGTAGGAAGAGGCTCAAGATCCAGGACAGACCAGTGAGACCCGCCCATCCAGACGGGCTGAGAACCTGGCGCTGCTGGGGTCATCCTGTCAACCCACAGACAGCTGGCCTGAGAGGGTCACCAAGCAGCAGATACAGGAGACGGCAGCAGGTTCCTGGTGGCAGGTCCAGCCATGCCCAAGGCCCGACCTACCACTGGACTTTTCAGATGCAATACAAGCCAACACATCTCCGTTTCTGCTCATGCAGTCCGAGCTGAGATTCCACAGCAGCCACAATACGAGCCTGACTGGCACGAAGAGGCCCACTGTATCCTCCTGCCCACAGAAAGCCACAGACTTCTTACATAAGGTCTCCGGGCAGTTACAATGTGGGTGTATGGAGGGCCATGGCTTCCTAATCATACTGTCCCACCACCAAGAGGCAAAGCACCACAGCATGACAAATGGGCGTCTTTCCACCCGGCTGTGATGTCCACCTGAAAACCAGGCACTCACCTGATACACGTGGAATGCATTTGCTGCCTTGCCCCGGAGAAACACGGAGGGGATCCAGACATTGATCAGCGCCCGGTTTGATCTATAACCAAAAGAGAGAGAGACCAACATTGGACATTTTAACTTACAAAACAATAACAAATACAAAAGAGGCAAGGAGACAATTTTCTCCTCTACGAGGTATTATGCACAAGCAATTTATGACAACTTAACATCACACCTGATGGCAAGCTAAAGGACAAGTTTAAGTCTTATCACTGAGCCTGTGACTCTCCCTCTCCATATATACACATACACACACACACACACACACACACACACACACCCCTCCCCCGTACTCTGGAGTGAGAAAGATCTCCCTTCAGTTCTTACGGAGTGATCTGGCCCATAATGTATCTGAACCTCAGTCTCCACATCTGAAAATGAAGATAATAACCGGAAGCCCCAAGGACGCGATCACAGGAGGTCACACAGCAATGCTCAGCGTTTCTGGAGTACCCAGCAGTCACGCTGCCTCCTTACTGAGCTGACTTTAGACCCTGAGCCCATTTTAAGATCAGACTCCACAAATGAGCTCAGGAGACCAACACTCATGGCAACAAGGGTGACAGCTGTTTAGGATGGGAGGAAGGAGGAACGAGAGAAAATGACAAGTTAGAAAACCAGGCTGATGGGTACAAATACCTCTCTTTTAACTTTTCCAAAAACACTGTGTATATAGGTCCAGTACACCGAGGTTTAAAGTCAAATGCAAAATAATTTACTGAGTACCTGCCATGAACGGTTCCATGCTTTTACCTATAGTAAAATCATTTATTTCTCACCTCACATGGGCTATTTGTAAGAGATACTTTGGTTTTGTGATTGTTTTGTCTTATGTGATGACTTTAAACTTAACTTGTAAGTCACTATCACATTTGTACCTGGCTGGATCCAAATTACACAGAGCTAATAAGCTGACTCTACCTGAAACTTCAAGATCAATTGTAGTAATTATCAAAACGGCACTGCACCATTCTGGAAGGGCTGTAAGGTCCCAGCCTTCGCCTCTAATTAGAGCTGTTCCAGGGCTAAATGCTTTCTCCTGAGCTCTCCTTCTCTGTAAAGAGCAGCTCATAAAAACTCGCCAGCCTTCTGGGTTTGGAACACAATTTGAGACACCGGTGATGGAAGATTCCACGACTCAATGTTCTCACAACCTCTAGAGTAAAGACCATTTCATTTTCACAATGAAAATAACCCTTCAGGTAATGGGTCTCTCCTGAAACAGCATTTCTTCTCATCTCTGAGCTGAGAAGCCGACCTCCTTTGAGGGGTAAATTAAACCCCACTGACCACTTCCCCAGGGCTCAATGCAATTCGAACCTTGCAATTCTGAGCCATCAAAACTGGTTTGTGTATCCAATCACTTTCCTCCTGGAAAGGTCCCTGAAATTGTACTAGTGCCTAGAACATTCTCCTTTCATTTCTGTGTCAGGCTACAAAGGCAGAAATATAACTAGTACTCTGGTTTTTATTAACTTTTCTGGATTGGTGAGGACTGGACGACCTCCCAGGGTGAGAGCGAGGATACCCCAGTCTGGGTTAGATGGTTCTCTCTTTCAGTGCATTGACCACACTGTATCAGAATTGATTGTTTACAAGACCATCTCCCTCCTAGGTGTTAGTTCATTTGTTCATGCTTTTGTTCCTTCACTCATTCATTAAACAAGTATTTATTGAGAAGCTACTCTGGATACTGGAGATAGAGCAATAAAAAATGCAGACATAGCCCTTTCTTCATGGAGCATTCAGTTTTAACATGGGAGACAGACAAATCTCCATAAAATTTACTCTGTTGTGGGCTGGGTACAGGGGCTCACACCTGTAATCACAGCACTTTGGGAGGCTGAGGTAGGCAGATCATCTGAGGTCAAGAGTTCGAGACTAGACTGGTCAAGATGGTGAAACCCTATCTCTACTAAAAATACAAAAATTAGCTGGGCATGGTGGCACGTGCCTATAGTCCCAGCTACTTGTGAGGCTGAGGCAGGAGAATCACTTGAACCTGGAGGCAGAGGTTGCAGCGAGCCGAGATCACACAACTGCACTCCAGCCTGGGCAACAGAGTGAAACTCCATCTCAAAAAAAAAAAAATTTTTTTTTTTAACTCTTTTGTGGTCAAGGAAGATACTTCGGATAATTTCAATTTTAAAAAATTTATTGAGACTGGTTTTGTGGCCTAACATATGGTCTTTCCTGGAAAGTTATGTGCACTTGAGAAGAATGTGCATTCCGCTATTTGGGGAATGTTTTATATAAGCCTGTTATATCTAATTGGTTTCTCATGTTGTTCAAATCCTCTATCCCCTTACTGATCTCCTATCTAGTTATCCTATCCATTACTAAAAGTGGGGTACTGAGGTCAACTCTTATTGTAGAGCTGTTTGTTTCTCCTTTCATTTCTGTTGATTTTTTTACATCATATGTTCTGAAGCTTTGTTGTCAGGTGTAGATATGCCAACAGCTGTTACAGATAAATTATTTACTATTATTGTAAGTGCCATCAAGGAACACTGGATCTAAGGAGAGTGACTTCCAGGGCCTGCTTTGGTGTGGGACACCAGAGAAGGCTTCTTTGCAGAAGCAATGTTTGGGCCAGGCTTTAAGGGATAGTTAGACTTAGCCAAGTTGGGGAAGGGAGGTTGAGGATGAGAAATGGTGCTTCAGGCAGGAGAATGAACATTTGTGAAGAGCACTAAGTCTACACCAGCACTGCCTGGGTTTGAATCCCAGCTCAATTTCATCATCTGTGAGGTGATACCCATCTCTGAAGGTTGTTGTAGGGACTGAGTGGGTTAGAACAGTGTCCAGCACAGAGGCGATGCTGTGTACAAGTGGTTTAAGCGGGTAAAATAATAACCCTAAAGGGAGAAGACCAAGTGGGTTAGAGGAGTGGATCTGCCAGATTGGCTGATGCAGGGAGAGGAGTGGCAAAGGCCGGGGACGAAGCCAGAGATGAGTGAGGGCCTTCCTCGCAAGCTCCACGAAGGATTTCGGTCTCTATGATGAGAGGGGAATGGTGCCATTGCTCCCTCTGGATTTAGTGTAGATGAGTAAACTGGTTGGGGGAAGTTCCAAATCTCTGGGGAGAGACAACGTTGCCTGGATCAGGCAGAGACCACTTGAGGGCAGGGACCATGGTTAATTGATCCCCTCTATCAGGGACCTGCCTGGACACCTGCCTGCAGCAGGACCTGGGTGAATTCTTGCTTTAATAATGAGTGCTTCCAGCCTCGTGTCTGGGACTCCCCTCTGTGGCTCTCTCCTGTCTTCCCAGTTTCTTCCCACCGCTGCCCTCCACTGGACTGCCATTCCAGGAGCCTCTTCATGCTGTGCTCCCCCTGCCCACAAGCCCATGGCAGGCAAATTCACCTTTGATTTTCATTCGTCACCTCTCACCCAACCTCAGCCTCTCCACCCTATCAGCCTAACGGCCACCTCCACCCCCGACCTCAGCAGATGCCCCATCACAAGTAGCCCTGTGATGCCCTCATGCCTTTCATAACCTCACTCTTACTGCCACCACAAGCCCTGCAAGGTTCGCATCAGGACCTTCACCTCACAGATTAGGAAAAGTGAGGCCCAGTGAGGTCAAATGGCTGGACTGATGCCTGAGATTTCAATGCAGGCCAGCCTGGTTCTGAAGAAATGCTCTTTCCAAGGCCCAGCCCTGCCTGCTCGAGAAGAGGCTTTTCTTCCCAAGGGGTGCTGAACCTTAAACTCACCAGAGCTGAATGAGAGAGGAGAGAACTTATCCCATTTCCTTCACCAGCCTAAAGGATGTATTTGTCCAAAGCCTAAGAAATCCTGAACAAAAATCAGCTGGGTGCAGTGGCTCCTGCCTGTAATCCCAGCACTTTGAGAGGCTGAGGTGGGTGGATCACCTGAGGTCAGGAGTTTGAGATGAGGCTGGTCAACAGGGTGAAACCCCATCTCTAGTAAAAAATACAAAAATTAGCCAGGTGTGGTGGTGTGTGCCTATAATCCCAGCTACTTGGAAGGCTGAGGCAGCAGAATCACTTGAACCTGGTGGGCAGAGGGTGCAATGAGCTGAGATCGTGCCACTGCACTCCAGCCTGGGCGACAGAGAGAGATTACATCTCAAAAAAAAAAATAGTCTGATGACCAACTAACCTCTCCCTAAGGGTGCTCGTGGAGGTACCAAATTGAATCTAATCCAATCAAAAATCCAACCAAGGCACTGACTACTGTTGTTTCCAATAACCCAAGGGCCACACAGATAATACAACGAGTGAAGTCGGTCACTTCCAGGCAACAGCAAAGAGCGGGGACTGTGGTCAATTGGACAGCACATGCCCTGTGCAAAGGGGATAGCTTTTACTCAGCTCCAGCAGACTGTGGCCTCATAGGGACAAACGTCTAATTTTTAAAGAAAATAAAGGAATTTTGTATTTTTATGTGATAGCCTCCAGCTTCTAAAGGTCAGCCAGGAAAAAAAAAAAAAAAGTTTTTAAATACCCAAGGGGGAGATAAAACACATCTGAGGGCCAGACTGAGGCTGTAGGAGAACGACTCCTACTAGCTCTACAAGAACCACATCAACCTGGTGTGGGTCTGAACAGTAATTTCTGTTTCCCTCTGTGGTCTTCTGGGACAGAAGCCAACAACAGAGTCCAGTTTCCAAAGGATCCCTTGTGAGCACAGGCTATGGACTTACATTTCAAAATCCGACAAACTCTGGTCTTCGGACGTTTGACTCAAATCTCCAGGCACCTACCATCAGGAGAAGGGGGAGAGGGGAGAGAAAATGCACAATGGTTACCACGGTTTGCATAATCACAGACTAATTCTGCCTCTCAGAGATCCCTGAGTATTTCCTGTTCAGAATGAAGTGTAAAAGCAGTCACTGGAAAACAGTAAGAGACTGCGTGGAGGGATGGTTGGAGAGGATGTTGCAGCAATAAAAATATGCCACCATGAGAGATCTCAATTATCTTTAGGGACTAGGATAATCCTATTGAGATAATCACAGGCATGTAAGAGCATGTAATTTTGGAGCGGTAAAGGCCTAATTAGGATCTGAGATGCAAGTTATCTGAGGTGCAATGCAAAAAACATCCATTGTCACCATGATGAACATCGCACACACAGACACACCCAGTAGGTAAACACAGAAGGCCAAAGTCACCCCCACAACGGCTCCATCCTTTCCCCTCGTAATGTATGAGCAATTTGAGGCAGCAGAATACGGCTTCTCCTTCTGACTCAGAAGGGCCATATGATGACTAGAGGAGAGAAACTAAACTGTGTGGCATGGTGGAGCCCACCAGCAGTACCGCTTAGGGGTCCTTACCACACACTGTGGAGGTGGGGGTGAGGGCAGGCAGGCATTCATAGGTACACGTGACCCCCAGTAAGCCACCCACCCTCAGCAACCCCTCAGATAGGAAACTGATTCTCACAGCTGTCACAAGAATTGCAATTATTATGTAAAGCAGACAGCAAAATGCCCAGTAGCGGTAGACGTTCAATAAATGTTGATATTTTTCTCATACCCAGGGAATGAGCTTCTTTTTTTGATCTGCTAGAAATTAAACTGGCTAGAATTTTAAGAAGGAGGATCAAGACTAAGAGAAACCAAGTGGAACAGAGAAGGGTGAGGGGTAGTGAAGGGAAAAAAGAGGACACTGACTTCACGCCTTTCACCTCTCGGAGTTCCCACACTACCCGCAATCCCCAGCAAGCTTCACAGTGAACTTGAGGACAGGTATTATTCTCCCCACTTTACAGATGAGGAAAGCGAGGCTCAGGGAGGCTGTAAAACTTGCCCAAGGTCACACATTTAGGAAATGGATCTGTCCAACTTCAAAGCTTTTCTGCTATAAACCCTCAGCAAACAGGAAAAGTCAGCCAAAAGGTGAAAAAAGAAAGTAAGATTGAAGTAGTCTTGAAGGCTTCAAGAAGAAATGAAGAAACTGAAGGTTAGGACACATTAGAAGGCTCTCCTTCAATCAGCAGTGGAGGCTGGGTGAAGTGGCTCATGCCTGTAACTCCAACACTTTGGGAGGCCGAGGTGGGCAGATCGCTTGAGCCCAGGAGTTCAAGACGAGCCTGGGCAACACAGCAAGACCGTGTCTCTCCTAAAAATAATGGAAAAATACATTAGCCAGGCATGGTGGCACAAGCCTGTAGTCCCACCTACTCCAGAGGCTGACGTGGGAGCATCACTTGAGTCCTGCAGTTCAAGGCTGCAGTGACCTATGATCACACCACTGCACCCTAACCTGGGTGACAGAGCATGACCCTGTTTCAAAAAAAAAAAATTAAGAGAATTTGTATTTTCTATTTTGAACTTTTCCGTACCTTCTACAATGAAGACATATTAACTGCATAATCATAAGCAGATATATATTAATTTAAGTGCATATCACATTATTAAGTAATCATATACCCTTTCCACCTCATCCCACTCCATGCGTGTCACTCAAATCCAGAAAGCAAGGTGGCAGAGACAGTGCCTTCCAAACAGTTATGCATCAGGGACGGAAAAGGGCAAAGAAAGGGTTCTAAAGCCATGTCACCTTCTAGACAACACCCATTCTCCCCTTTTACATCCATATGGAGCCCAGTAGAAATGGCCAGGACACCAGGCGCAGTGGCTCAAGCCTGTAATTCCAGCACTTTGGGAGGCCGAGACGGGCAGATCACGAGGTCAGATCGAGACCATCCTGGCTAACACGGTGAAACCCCGTCTCTACTAAAAAAAAAAAAATACAAAAAACTAGCCAGGCGAGGTGGCAGGCGCCTGTAGTCCCAGCTACTTGGGAGGCTGAGGCAGGAGAATGGTGTAAACTGGGGAGGCGGAGCTTGCAGTGAGCTGAGATCCGGCCACTGCACTCCAGCCTGGGCGACAGAGTGAGACTCCGTCTCAGAAAAAAAAAAAAAAAATGGCCAGGATGCCAGCAGGTCACTCCTCTTCTCTGGGTTTCCCCCTCAGCACTGAGGCTGGGAAAGGCTCTTCTGGACATGCTATGGGGATCAAGTGAGCAGGCTGGAGGGGGACTCACAGGCCATCAGGACACCAGCTCCACTGCTACACACAATCGCCACCGCCTTTAAATGCAGCCTCATTTCCAAATGGAAGTGAACAGAGTTTGCACCCATGAAACTCAATCACAAGAGTGTCTTGCTGTATCTACCCCACAGAGCACAGGCAGAAGGCAACCAAAAGGACCAAGGTTAAACACAAGGCAGATTTTTTATGGACAGACATTAATCTACAATTATAGAAAACAAAGGGCTTCTTCAAAAATGACAAATTCTGGAACAAGGTATCTTTTGTGTAGGTAAAAGTTTCCCTTCAGGGGTGGTGATTTTCAGGGAACATTTTGAAGAGTGGATATGTGTACCCAGGAGTTGTTCAATCCTTCTGACTTAGAGGCTTTTCTTCTAATTACGTGGCATTATTGGGATCAGTAAACCAGGAGATTTTGTGTGCCTACATGAGTACCAGGGAGGCTGCTTGGAAAAAGAATTTGGGAACTTTCTAACCTCCATGGAACATAACTTGATAACAAGGCCAGGCACCGTAGCAAATGCATGATAATAATTAAAGGCCGAGCTTACTCAACATCAAATTTTGTCTTTTCTCACTGTTTTTCAAGACTGCAGCCAGATATTAGCTAGACTTGACAGCAGCCCTTTAGAGAGCTGATTTTATTTTATATTCTGGCAATAAAGAGTGTGGAGAAGAGATTATTTTGTAAGAAAAATCAAATTTCTACTGATACTGGCCACAAACATCCCCTGTGACCTCCTGAAGTCTGGGGAATCTTGGAGAACACATCCCTGGGATGCAGGCTTCTCTTTAGTTTACCCTCGATATGGGGCACAAAGCAGCCATCAGCAACATGGCTATCTCCATTCGCCTCTCCCTGACCCTGCAGAGAAGGCAGCTCACCCTATGCCTGTGGTCTGGGCACTCACACGGCAGTCTTCAGGTGCAAGGAAAGGCAGATCCTGTTACTAAAGCAACAGAGCAGCCAGGATTCCTGAATCGTGCCGGAGCAAACACCCTTGGTGCTGTACACACAAGGATGTGAAATGGTAGATGAGAACAACGGGGAATCCACTTCTGGGCTGCATCAGCAAAGAAGTTTCCATCATCTCCCCTGACTCAGGATTTCCTGGGTTGTTGGGGGAGGTGGGGAGCAGGTACAGGCCAGGACAACAGCTTTCTCCCTAGTCATGAAACTCTGACCCCAGTGCCATGTGGAACTCTGACACAGGTCCACCCTGCCACTTTGACTGGCAAGTCCTCAAACCTGGGAAGACACTAGAGGTTCCGCCAAAAAGAATGAAAAGTATCCATTATGTGCTGAATAAATATTTATTTAAATAAAAAGGAAAGACAGAAGAGGGAGAGAAAAAGAAAATCAGCCAATTTGCCAGAGCCATAGAAAAAAAATTACACCTCCTCCCATTAGCACAATAAGGGTCCGGGTAAGGGGGCACTGAAGATGAACAGGGAACCCTTTCATCGTTGCAGCTGCCCTCACTTCTAGTCCTGAGGGGTGTGCAAGAATGACACCGCCACCACCAATATCATCAAAGGCTGCCCACTCCACAAAGCTCTTCCACAGTGGGTGGGGAGAGGTGTGCTCCCGATTTCATGGGCAAGGACAAGAGAGATCACTGTAAATAAACACAGAGGAAGTAAAGATGTCAGGAGCCCAAACCAAATCTCAGTCTACTCAGCAGCCTCTCAGTGACTTCAGGTGCTCAGGCTTTCTCCAGGTGGAGAAGCCATACGAGGTATTCTGATCAATAATCCCATCTGAGGTCCCGGTGGGCTGCCAGCACCAACTGCCAGACAAATGAGAGCGCTATCTTGGATGTCCAACTCAGTCAAGCCCTGGTCGACACCACATGATGCAGAAGAACCACCCAGCTGAGCTCAGTCAGCCCACAGAATCATGAGAGATTAAAAAATAGCCATTTTTTAAAAGCCATCAAGTTTTGGGGTAGTTTCACATACAGCAATATATACTCCATAAAAGTAACTTGCCCAAGGTCATTTGGCTAGTAAGTAGAATAGGTGGAGTTCAAATGCAGGTGGTCTGGCTCCAGAGCCTACACTTCTAACTGCTAAGCTATACTGCCTCCCACTACAAAGTCTCCGTTCTTCACATCTTGCCTCTGGGATGCCCAGAAAATGAAGTAACCCTATTCATACTCAAGAGCATTAGCTGGTAAACGGACCTCTGATGGGTGAAGAAAGTCTGAAAGGGCTCAATAGCTCCAAAGTAGACATATACGATGTACAACTGGGTCTAAAACCTTGAGCCTCCTTAAAGCTTGGGGGTTTTCTGATTTTATTTTGCTGTTGCTGCTGCAGGATGACTTAGGAGGCTTTGCCCCTAGGAAGTCCCAGGTCCTTTTCCATCTCTGGGTACACAGGTCAGCCTCCAGACTCTGGGCCAAGTACCTAAGCTCTTAGGAACAGATGGAAATGCAGACGTTTTGCGTTCTAATCCTGGGTTTCCTCTGATGGTTTGAGAAGTCACTTGGCTTCCGTAAACCTTGATTTCTTCCTTATCTACCTCATGACAACCAGCCTCTGATTGCCCTATTCAAAAAAATCAGCAAAGACAAGGGGAGTGGCCAGCATGTGTTGAACAATTATACGTGCCAAGGACTTCACGGTCTCACAGTAAATCCTCAAACAATCTGTGAAGCATTATTGTAAGCTACAGCTCCCTTCTCCTCTTCCT